TTATGTATGCTGGATTATATATTATGTATGTATATTATGTATGTGCTCCATTTATGTATTATTTATTCAGCCTAGCTAGCAGCGTGTGGCAATGTTATTACCATATCCCACATGCTTAATTAATGTGCCTGGCGACGTATGGAAGCTGCTAATGTCTCACTTGCCATACGTCGTCTATAGACAGTTGACAGGCAGCCGAGCTGAGGAGAGCACTACTCTCCCTTGTGTACATACTCTTATCCAGTAAACCGAACCTACAAAACTATAGAGGTGTTTGTGTTCTCTCCTGTATATAGAACTTATTATCCAGAACCTAACAATGTCTTCGTGGCCCCTCCCAGATGTAATGACCTCGTGGCCCCTCCCAGATGAAATGTCCTCGTGGCCCCTCCTAGATGTGATATCCTCGTGGCCCCTCCTAGATGTAATGTCATAGTGGCCCCGCCTAGATGAAATGTCCTCGTTGCCCCTCCAAGATGTGATATCCTTGTGGCCCCTCCTAGATGTAATGTCTTCGTAGCCCCTAAGAAATGTAATGTCCTCGTGGCCCCTCCTAGATGTGATGTCCTCGTGGCCCCTCCCAGATGTAATGTCCTCGTGGCCCCTCCCAGATGAAATGTCCTCGTTGCCCCACCTAGATGTGATATCCTTGTGGCCCCTGCTTGATGTAATGTCTTCGTAGTCCCTAAGAAATGTAATGTCCTCGTGGCCCCTCCTAAAGGTGATGTCCTCGTGACCCCTCCTGCATGTGATGTCCTCGTGACCCCTCCTGCATGTGATGTCCTCGTGACCCCTCCTAGATGTGATTTCCTCGTGACTCCTCCTAAAGGTGATGTCCTCGAGACCCCTCCTGGAATTGATGTCCTCGTGACCCCTCCTAGATGTGTTTTCTTCGTGACCCCTCCTAAAGGTGATGTCCTCGTGACCCCTCCTGGATGTGATGTCCTCGTGACTCCTCACTAGATGTGATGTCCTTGTGACCCCTCCTAGATGTGATGTCCGCGTGGCCTTCCTACATGTGATGTCCTCGTGACCCCTCCTAGATGTGATGTCCTTGTGACTCCTCCTGGATGTGATGTCCTCGTGGTCCCTCCTCGATGTAATATCCTCGTGGCCCCTCTTATATGTGATGTCTTCGAGACCCCTCCTACTGTAGATGTATGTCCTCGTAGCCTCACGTAGATGTGATGTCCTCGTGACCCCTCCCAGATTTAATATCCTCGTGGTCCCTCCTAGATGTAATGTCCTCGTGGCTCCTCCTAGATATGATGTCCTCGTGACTCCACCCGGATGTGATGTCCTCGTGGTCCCTCCTGGATGTAATATCTTCGTGGCCCCTCCCAGATGTAATGTCCTCGTAGCCTCACCTAGATGTATGTCTTTGTGACCCCTCCCAGATGTAATGTCCTCGTGACACCTCCCAGATGTAATGTCCTCGTAGCCTCACCTACTGTAGATGTATATCTTTGTGACACCCTCCCAGATGTATTATCTTCGTAGCCTCACCTAGATGTATATCTTCGTGGCCCCTCCTAGATGTGATGTCTTTGTAACCCCTCCTAGATGTATGTCCTCGTAGCTTCACCAAGATGTGATGTCTTCGTGACCCCTCCCAGATGTAATGTCCTCGTGACCCATCCTAGATGTATGTCCTCATAGCCTCACCTAGATATGATGGCCTCGTGACCCCTCCCAGATGTAATGTCCTCGTGGTCCCTCCTAGATGTGATGTCTTTGTGACACCTCCCTGATGTAATGTCCTCGTAGCCTCACCTAGATGTATGTCTTCGTGACCCCTAACAGATGCAATGTCCTCGTAGCCTCATCTAGATGTGATATCCTTGTGACCCGTCCAAGATGTAATGTCCTCGTAGCCTCACTTAGATGTGATGTCTTCGTGACCCCTCCTAGATGTATGTCCTCGTAGCCTCACGTAGATGTGATGTCCTCGTCACCCCTCCCAGATGTAATGTCCTCGTAGCCTCACTTAGATGTGATGTCTTCGTGACCCCTCCCAGATGTAATGTCCTCGTGGCCCCTCCTAGATGTATGTCCTCGTAGCCTCATCTAGATGTGATATCCTTGTGACCCCTCCCAGATGTAATGTCCTCGTAGCCTCACCTAGATGTATGTCTTTGTGACCCACTCCCAGATGTGATTTCCTCGTAGCCTCATCTAGATGTGATGTCTTCGTGGCCCCTCCCAGATGTAATGTCCTCTTAGCCTCACTTCGATGTGATGTCTTTGTAACCACTCCTAGATGTATGTCCTCGTAGCCTCACCTAGATGTTATGTCCTCGTGACCCCTCCCAGATGTTATGTCCTCGTGGTCCCTCCTAGATGTTATGTCCTCGTGGCCCCTCCTACATGTAATGTCCTCGTGACCCCTCCTAGATGATATGTCCTCGTGGCCCCTCCTAGATGTGATGTCCTCGTGACCCCTCCTATATGTAATGTCTTCATAGCCTCACCTAGATGTGATGTCTTCGTGACCCCTCCCAGATGTAATGTCCTCGTAACCTCACCTAGATGTATGTCCTGTGACCCCTCCCAGATGTGATGTCCTTGTAGCCTCACCTAGATGTGATGTCTTCGTGACCCCTCCCAGATGTAATGTCCTCGTAGCCTCACCTAGATGTGATGTCTTCGTGACCCCTCCCAGATGTAATGTACTCGTAGCCTCACCTAGATGTGATGTCTTCGTGACCTCTCCCAGATGTAATGTCCTCGTAGCCTCACCTAGATGTGATGTCTTCGTGACCCCTCCCAGATGTAATGTCCTTGTAGTCATCACCTAGATATATGTCTTCGTGACCCCTCCTAGATGTGATGTTCGTGACCCCCAAGATGTATGTCCTCGTAGCCTCACCTAGATGTATGTCCTTGTGACCCTCCCAGATGTGATGTCCTCAGCCTCACCTAGATGTGATATCTTCGTGACCCCTCCCAGATGTAATGTCCTCGTAGCCTCACCTAGATGTGATGTCTTTGTGACCCCTCCAAGATGTAATGTCCTCGTAGCCTCACCTAGATATATGTCTTCGTGACCCCTCCTACATGTGATGTCTTCGTGAACCCTCCAAGATGTATGTCCTCGTAGCCTCACCTAGATGTATGCCTTCGTGACCCCTCCCAGATGTAATGTCCTCGTAGCCTCACCTGGATGTGATGTCTTCGTGACCCCTCCCAGTTGTGATGTCTTTGTAACCCCTCCTACATGTATGTCCTCGTAACCTCACCTAGATGTGATGTCTTCGTGACCCCTCCCAGATGTAATGTCCTCGTAGCCTCACCGAGATATATGTCTTCGTGACCCCTCCTAGATGTGATGTCTTCGTGAGCCCTCCCAGATGTAATGTACTCGTGGTCCCTCCTAGATGTGATGTTTTTGTGACCCCTCTCAGATGTAATGTCCTCGTAGCCTCACCTAGATGAATGTCTTCGTGGCCCCTCCTAGATGTATGTCCTCGTAGCCACACCTAGATATGATGTCCTCGTGACCCCTCCCAGATGTAATTTTCTCGTAGCCTCACCTAGATGAATGTCTTTGTAACCCCTCCTAGATGTATGTCCTCGTAGCCACACCTAGATATGATGTCCTCGTGACCCCTCCCAGATGTAATTTTCTCGTAGCCTCACCTAGATATATGTCTTCGTGACCCCTCCTAGATGTGATGTCTTCGTGACCCCTCCAAGATGTATGCCCTCGTAGCCTCACCTAGATGTGATGTCCTCGTGACCCCTCCCAGATGTAATGTTCTCGTGGTCCCTCCTCGATGTAATGTCCTCGTGGCCCCTCCTAGATGTCATGTCCTCGTGACTCCTCCTGGATGTGATGTCCTGTTGGTTCCTCCTGGATGTGATGTCTTTGTAACCTCTCGCAGATGTAATGTCCTCGTAGCCTCACCTAGATGTCTTCTTGACCCCTCCCACATGTAATGTCCTCGTAGCCTCACCTAGATGTGATGTCTTCGTGGCCCCTCCTAGATGTAATGTCCTCGTAGCCTCACCTAGATGTGATGTCTTCGTGACCCCTCCCAGATGTAATGTCTTCGTAGCCTCACCTAGTGTAATGTCCTCGTGGTCCCTCTTAGATGTGATGTTTTCGTGGCCTCTCCTAGATGTATGTCCTCGTAGCGTCACCTAGATGTGATGTCTTCGTGACCCCTCCTAGATGTGATGTCCTCGTGACCCCTCCCAGATGTAATGTCCTCGTGGTCCCTACTAGATGTGATGTTTTCGTGGCCCCTCCTAGATTTATGTCTTCGTAGCCCCACCTAGATGTGATGTCCTCCCGACCTCTCCCAGATGTGATGTCCTCGTGACCTCTCCTAGATGTGATGCCCTCGTGACCCCTCGCAGATGTGATGTCCTCGTGACCCCTCCGAGATGTGATTTCCTCGTGACCCTTTCGAGATGTGATGTCCTCGTGGCTGTTTTTATTCAACGTTATAATATAATTTAGAGTATTAACAACACAAATATCATTTTAAGAATAACGGAGAATTTTTATTATGATGTCCCCGGAAGAAATAATTGATGAAAATTGGCGATAAGTTAATTTTCGGTGCTTTATATATATATATATATATATATATATATATATATATATATATATATATATATATATATATATATATATATATATATATATATATATATATATATATATATATATATATATATATATATATATATATATATATATATATATTTTTTTTAATAATTCAGTAACTTCCAACTGTGTTACAGATAAGAGATTGGGGGGGACCAGTGTTTCTGTATCCTGATCATATTATGAAATGGATTACATCTTTATTTAATGTACGTGACAATATTTCGAAGGATTTCAAACTTATTCCAAATTATGACTTCAAAGTCGTAACATAATGAATATTTTCGAACAGATTATGACCAATTCTCTCAGCGCCTCCAAAATAATGAACGAATAACTTTATATAGACAATATCTACATATATATACATATACAAAAAAATTACCTGACAGGGGTCCGAAAATGGGAAAACCGATGCCAGTCAGTAAAGAAGAAACCCCATAAGTTGACGGCAGGTTCTCGATGCCCATAAATTGTATAATGATTAAGGAATTTAGTGTGACTGTAGCTCCTATGCCAACTCCGAAGACGGCCATCGTTACTGCCAGCCAGGTAATGCTCGTCAGGAAGGGAAACACTGAAATAAGATGTCATGGTTATGAAGATATAAACAGTATTAATTTACAGGTGAAATAGCCATTTGTTAATCTTGATTTCATCACAACTTTACCTGCTATATTTGAATTATATACTCTAGAATATCCACCTGAGTGTAGACTCGCAAAAAGAATATTCTTCTCCATAAGCAATAGTTCTAACAATTGATGATACACAATCATAAGTTATTTGCCTCACAAAGAACCTGCACAATACTTACTTCACCCTTCTTCTTCATATCAGTCAGATTGTACATTTTCTCTTCCAACACAATTACGCCAGGCGTGCAAGGAAATTGCAATTAATCATTCTCATTTTTTCGACCACTGACCGCAACATTCCATGTCGTGCCACTCTTATTCTTCATCATCATTCACCTTCTTCATTCCTTGCAACTCTCAGTCATGGATCTCCCTTTCCTCTCAATCTCTTCATTTACTTATTTTTTTTAATATTATTCTTATATTTTTTTCTTATCACACTACTAAACTTTATATTTCCATCTTTCTTATCCCTAGAGCAAATATCGATTACTCTGTCCTTCAGAAGATACATTGTACTGCCCCTAGATAATATGTTTTTTTAAGAAAATAGCATTGATAAAACTACATAAAAGCATCAATAGCCAAATGAATGTACCATCTCCCATGTACTAACATCTGCCATAAACATATATTAAATTAAAACATCAATTGTCCAAAGAAGTTAAATGGTTAAAATGGCAATTAAAAATAAATATAATGTTTTCATACCAAATACTGAAGATCCTAGAAGGACGACGCCAAACATATGGCAGAAGAACTTGTTGAATTTTTTCCAGTCCGATAGAGGAGACACAAGGAGGCGGGTCACCATGTTGCTAACACCCATCAGAGATATGCACCAGACTGAATCTTGTAGGGTGTGACCTGCTGCTTGCATCGCAAAGGGCACCATCATTATGAAGTTCAAGAAACTGCTATACATAAAAAAATTCCCCAAAGAAATAATCTGAGCTCGACGTAGCCGAAGGATAGATATATCAGATTTAGTTGTCTCCACCACACGCACCACCATCATCTTCAGTTTTTTCATCATACTCAAAGATTCATTACTTTCAACACAGTTTCTTTCACGAAAACTAATTGATTCAGTGATGGAGAAAACTGACCCAGCGGAAACGTCACCTGATACCATGGACTTGTACGAACACTCACTATCTCGGCGTCCTTCACCATATACCTGCATGGCTCTCCTTTGAGTTACAACACTTGCCCACTTGGGACCTTCATCCTTGAGAACTACCCCTAACGGGTCCATTAACTCTCCTTGGTTATCAGTGCATTTTGTTTGTTGCATCAGAGGTGTAAGACCTTCCTGTGGTGGGTTTATGTCTCCCTGTGGTGGGTTTATGTCTCCCTGTGGTGGGTTTATGTCTCCCTGTCGAAGCGTCTTCATGTGCCATTTGAGTGGATGGAAGAAGGAAACTGCAACATATCCATTCATCAAGATGGCACCATATATAACAGTGGCGCCTTTGAAACCGTACTCAGCAATTAAGTATTGTACGAGTGGAGTAATTATGATCTGACCCATGCAGATCCCAACTGTTAAAAAAGTGTTTGCTAAGCCTTGTCGTCGGTCAAAATACATAGGAACTATGATAAAGCTTATTCCACCCACCAGCCCACCACCAACACCTGAGAGAGAGAGATAATTAAAGTGTGTTAAGGACATAATAAGAGTTAATCACATAACACAAAAGTTTCTTCTTAGTGGGTACACATCAACATACTCGTACATTGACATATAAAACAGGTGAGAGGTCAACCTTACTACTGGAGCTCTCTTCTATGATTTATGCTTATCATCTGAACATAACAATGCCTTAGTACTGAACACCATTGTAAAGGCCTGGTCTTTGGGATATAAATTCCTTGCCAGCCTAATCAGGATCTTATAAAAAGGAAAGTTAAGAACCATGGGTTTCCAGGGAGTAACAAACAACCGTTAGAGATTAACATCTCTTTACTACGAAATAATCTCAATAATTTAACTCTGACACCACTCACATAGATATTAAATAAACAGCCCTGTAGTGAAACAATTACTTAAAACAAAACAATCACTAAAACAAATAACAGGTATTTCCTACGGCTGCAGATGACTTTTCCTCCTAACCAGCACGGTGGAATGTTCTGGTAACGCTGTGATCCGCTCTCAGGGAGTAAAGTCCAGGGCAGCTTCCTCACTTGGCGGCGGCGTTGGTGGGCGATGTCTTGCTACACAAGAGAGACACCAGGGCACGAACGGTGGAGAGGGTGTGGAGGAAGTGGCGATCACGTGGCAGTAGCTGGAGTAGGTGACCGGAGTTTGACAGCCGGATAGCGAAGGACTGGGGTCAATCAGCCCACGAGCCCCAAGAACCTCAGATGGATGCACAACCAGAGTTGGAATCGAACAGCGGGATGAAGTAATAGGGTGTGTCATAGGAGGGAAGATCAGCTAAAACTAATGGCCCATCACTTTTTTGGTAGATTTTAGTGTATATAAACAGAAAATAATTTCAGTTTCAATATTTTGCAACCTTTTGCTAGGTAAATTTTAGCGTGAAATTTATCGAAAATCTAACGTACAGCTGCATTAGTGCATTACAATTAAATAGTGAACATTGCTTTCTGACTTTATTCTTTAACAACCCAACTAACAATATTTTTTTCTGTTTCAGATTCTGATGCATTTATAAGTTGATAATATTTACGACGAACCAAAAATCCAGCCATCTCAGTCACTATCTTGGGTCTGGGAGAGAGCTCCTGAAGTCGGAGTTGCCTACATTGAGAGATGCTTTGAGATACGGTGTTTTAATCAGGCAAATCAGTGAAAAGAACCAAAGAACTTACACAAACAAAGACATTGCCAGTGATATGACCAAAGCTGTCTTGGCACAGTACACTCTGGCTAACGCTCAGTTCAAGCCTCCAATCATAACAAGTCAGAAGAAGATTAGTGAGAGACTGCTAGCCAGTTGGGAAAAGGCAAGAGATATCTCTCTTGGGAGAGGAAAACTTGCAGTTAAGGACAGCTTTGCCAAGCAACTGGACCAGTTATTTGACATAATTACTTGCAAGTGCCCAATTGTTCTCTGTCCTGAGTTTGGATGCGATCGTGACTGTAAATCCGAGGCCCACATCTCCTGTATTTGCAAGCGTGAACTGAAGATTCCTGTGATCGAACTGGCATTTGTCAAAGCACAGAGAGAGAAGACTGGCAGTATAGGGGCTCTCATGATTTCTAGCCAAGATATTCCGGAGTCCAAGAGACAGGAGGCTGCCACAGAGAGACAGAAGAGGAGAAGAGTTGCCGAGGAAAAGAGACTTGAGAAGGCCCAGGGTGAGGTAAAAAAGGCCGATGATTGGAGTCAAGCTGATTCAGAGTTTAATGACTTCCCCATGGCTGATCCGAGTGCTGACCAGGAGAATGGTGACTTTGTCCCTAACCCAGAAAATAATGATCCCAAACCTTCCAGGCATAAGATTCGAAATAGGAAAGATATCCCGAGCATAGCTCTGGCCAGCATGCGACACCACACTGGTCTCAGAGAAACTGCAGAGATAGCAACAGCTGCCTGGATTGACGGTGGTTTGATAACACCTGATGATGTTCACCTGGTGATAGATCATAACAAAGTAAGGAGAGCTCAGGAGAAACTTGTCAGTAACCTAGAAGAGGAGTTTGATAAGGGGATAAGAGAAAATGGAATCAATTGTTTGTTCTTTGATGGGAGAAGGGATGACACTAAAGTGTTCATGAAAGTTGGAGATTCTGACAAGTTGTTCCCTGCCATGGTGAAGGAGGAACACTACTCCTGCTGCAGTGAACCAGGAGGGAAGTATTTGTGGCATTTCACTCCAGAGAAAGATGACATCAGGAAACCAGCTGAGATAGTGGCAGATAACATTGTGAACTGGCTCAGAGAGAGGAACGTAGACCAGACCCTGCAGGCCATTGGAGGGGACAGCACCAACACGAACACAGGGTGGCAAGGGGGGTCATACAGTGGATAGAGCGGAAGATTGGGAGGAAGCTGGTCTGGATTGTTTGTGACCTCCACACCAACGAGTTGCCACTCAGACATCTGATCCAGGAGCTGGATGGCAAGACTCTTTCAAACAACAGATGGTCTGGTCCTCTTGGCAAGATGCTGGACTCTGCCACTGAGTTAGAAATAAATCCGAGCTTTGAAAAAATCACAGTTGGCCCTCCACTCGTTGAGCTTGCACATACTGTCATTGACGACCTGAGTACTGACCAGTACTATGGTTACATGATTTGCAGTGCCATCAAAACTGGGGTCATGCCTGATAGACTTACTTACCTGCAGATAGGTCCAGTCTCACATTCTAGGTGGCTCACAACGGCTCTCAGGTTCTGCAGAATTTGGGTCGCTCATCATAAACTGAAAAGGAACCAGCTTCACAACCTGAGACTTATTGTCCAATTCATCGTGAGTGTCTACTTGTCAAATTGGTTCAACACCAAGGTCAAGTCATCGTTCTCCGAAGGTCCGAGGCATGTTCTCTTCCAGCTTGAGCTCCTGAGGAGTCAGCCAAGGAAGGTTGTTCAGATTGTGGAGCAGACTGTGAGGAGATCTTCCTGGTATGCTCATCCCGAGGCAGTTCTGCAGACAATGATCGGCAGTAAGGATGAGGAGGAGAGAAGAGTGGCAGTCAAAAAGATCTTGGATATGAGACTTATGAGAGGATCTGGGCATGACGAATCAGTTGGTGACGATTCCTTCAGGGTCAGGAAGACTCCTGAAGTCAATCTAGGTGCCAAGACCCTCACTGATCTCATAGATCTGGATAACATCCAGGCTGGCAGTGAGCCCCCTCTTACCTGCAGCCTCACCAATGTTCAAGTCAGAACTTTCCTGGACAACCCCATGCATGTCCCTGCCTGGCCCTCGCACACCCAGAGTATAGAGCGTTGTGTACAGCAAGTGAGCGAGGCCAGCAGTCACATGTACAGCCAGGAGAGGAGGGAAGGCTACATCCGAGCTCAGGTGGTCAGCAGGGAGGTGATGAGTAGAAACAGAAGCAAGAAAGACATGTTCTCTATGGTGTGCAGCAACACCGGGTCGTAGTAGTAAAACCGGTTTTTGTATTTGATGATTTTGTTTTCTAAAGGAATATTAAATTTAATAAATGTGTCAAGATCATTCGTTTCACTATTCTGGATCATTTTCATCCTAATAAATTAACCTGATACATTTACTTTACTTTAACTAAGCTATTTAGTGGTGTTGGTAAAAGGGTGGGAATACTGAATTTTCACAAGATTTCAAGTTAAAATTTACCTAGCAAAAAATGACAACTTTTCAAATCTGAAGATATCACATGATTCTGCACATAGAACTACATCATTAATACCATGGGCCGATTTTTCAAACTCAAAAAAAAAAATTCGCCTCCGTATGACACACCCTAATGAAGTAACAGCTGTGGTGAAGGCTGGATCGTGTCTGGCGTGCCATGTGACAGCAGCGACCTTCTCACCTCCGTTTCCTCCCCCTAGTGGGGCCGCGAACAAGCAAACGAGCGGCGGACAACCTACCCGCTCGTAGGTAGGTAGCTACTGAACATAACATCCTCCCTATGTAAGTGAGGATACCTTATAATGTTGCAAAAATTTGCAGAGAGTTATAAAGTTTCTGTGGGACATTTTCTAGTTAAGGGAAGTACAGTAAGATGAGAAGTTTAAATAGCATACAATAAAATTGTTACCATACAGTATATAGTTTCCTCTTTATTCAAGACATCTTCAGAGGCAACTGGATTACATGGACAGAGAGAGGCATAAATATACAGGTTTTTTTTTTTTTCTCTCACTGTTTTGGTCATACTGCAAACATAGTATTTTTTTTTTTACCTTTGATGTTAATAATTCATATAAATTATTTTTGTTTTAACATTTGATAGCATAAATTAATTGTGATTTTATCATTTCATCAAAAAAAAATGTATTTACCATGTCACTTTCTAAGGTGACGTCAAGTAGTTTATAAAGATGTCACATCATTAAGAATAAAAACAAAGTGACATCAAGTAGTTTATGAGGATGTCACAGCAGTAAGAATAAATAGACAAATGAAGAGACTTTTTAGATGACCTTAATTCAAGCCGCCCTGCAATATAGCGAGACGGGGCTTCCAAGACAAAAACAATTGTAAGCTCTAGTTGCATTTTCGAGCGACAAACGATATTATATGACCGCCAAAGATGCACAAGAAGTTTCTGCGGTGTCGATATTTCTCCAAGACGGTGGAAAATAGTTCTTGATGTTTGGTCTGTGAGTTCGTGAGGAGGGGTAGGGAGGTATGTGGTGGGGGGAGGTGTAGGGATGTGTCGGGAGGTGTGGGGGTGTGTCGGGAGGTGTTGGGATGTGTAGAGAGATGAGTGTGGTATGGTGTGGGGGTGTAATGTGGTGTGGGGTGTGTGTAGGGAAGTGTGGAGTGGTGTATGGAAGTGTGGTGAGATGCAGAAATGTGTTAGAAAAGTGTGGAAAGATGTAGGGATGTGTGTATAGGGTAGGGATGTGTGTGGAATTTTAGGGTGATGTACCAATGCATAGTCAGGTGTGAGAGAAGAGATGGAGCAACGTCACAAGTGGAGTTCCCCAAGGCTCAGTACTTGGACCA